TGTATGATACATAGATAGTTCATTACTGGGAAGGATTACCTATCTTATAAAGCAAGAAGAAAGGACTTTGAATATTCTCACTGCATAAATTCTTGGGAAGCTACATAAACTCAACTTGATTTAAAAATTGTATCACCACTTATTGAAACCTCTCACTGCATTTATAAAGATACTTTTAAATGTCGAATTTAAAGTAAATTTAAAAGTTTTTCCATGTGCAGTAGAAGCTTTACATATATAATCAGCTTAGGTCTTTCCCAGATATGAAAGATCATTGAATGCCTATGAATCACAACCATGACCTGCAGGACACAACACGATAATTTAAGGTGCAGTAGTGGCACATATACCTCGGTGGTAACCAACAGGTCTCTAATCATACGTAAGACCTACTTGACAGTAAGGAAACTATGCCTGGTACTGGAAACCTATCCAACCTACACAGAGGAAGTGAAGTCATGGATCTTAAGAGAGAACCCACAGCCGATACTTTACTCACCCAAAACAATCCCAACTACGTCCTGAATATTTGTCCTTTATTTATAGATAAGCATAGTCCTCACCTTCATCAAAGGAAACTTCATTTTGTAACAGATCGATCATTGCAGAAGACCATGACCAGCCACCATGGCTACATCCACAAAACACCCCTGCACCTTAAAAGGTTCATGGAACATTGCAGAAGACAGGGTGAGAAGCTTTCTTTGAGACTGTGTTTTCTAGGAATGTCAGAAGCTACACTCATAAAGTCTCACCAACATGACTGCCTAAACATGAGCTGAACAGGAAAAACCACAGAACATGCTCCAGTGGTTGGAGGGAAGCCCAGCAGGACTGAACCCTTCACAAACAACTACAGACAACCGGGGAAGGCTGAAAGGGGGAGCACACCAACTGCTTATTCCATCACAAACAGCCAGCCGCTTCTGGAATGGAAGCATTCACAGACTTCTGAGCGAGTTGTACAGGAAGAGTATACAGGTGTAGAAATAAGCAAATATGCTTGCAACAACAATCAATGAGAAACGAAGCCACGAATTTGAGGGAGATCAAGGAGAGAAGTGTATCAGGGGGCCTGGAGGGAGGGAAGGCAAAGAGGAAAATGATGTAACTATATTATCTCAAAAATAAGAAATTATCATAAAACATCAAACAAAAATAAACCAACAAAATAAAACAAACAGACAAACAAAAAACAGACTAACAATTCTTCAAGAGACACCAACAGCAGGCTGTATATTCCTTTAGATTCTTCTTACTTATAAAATCCTTATACTGGCATTCCTGTTCCTTTTAACCTGTAAAAGCATAACTCTTACTCATTATAATCAAGATCTCATATTGAAAAGTCTTAAACCAAATTTCAAATTCCAATAGATTTCAACTTTGTTCCCTTACTGCTCAGTACCTTTGAAGACTATGTTGGGTGCGGGTGGGGGGAGATTCCTTTTTTTTATTTTTAGGCACAATAACGCAGGGTTGGCTTATTCACAGGTGGTTTACAACATCAGAAGGTAAAGTGCTGGTGAACTATAGAATTATGGCACAAAAAGAAGGTGCCCTTTAATGGGGAACTTAAAGATAATTATTAATAACACTATTAACAAAGTTTTGACAGGGGGTCGAAGGCTTTAAGGAAATGAAGTATACTAGATTAGAACTGAGAATAGCTTATGTAAGTACGAAAGAGAGCTGTATCATCAGTCCCAAGAATTTAACATCATAGAAAGCTGTGAGGTATGGGTCACTGTATGGGACCATGCCTTTAGAGACATAGCCAGCCCTTGTCCTCCTACACAGAAAGACCAGGAGTAACATAGTTTGGACCCTTATTCCCATCAGAAGTCTCTTGATATTACTACCAACCAAACCTAATAAAAAGCCAGAGAGCCCCTTGACATAGGCCAAAAAGGAGCAATACTTGTGCTAGACAAAAAGAGTTAGAAGGGTAGCAAAGGAATCCAGAGGGGCAAATAAAAGGTGATTTTAGAGATGATTTCAAGAGAGTGAAGGAAACACAGACTTCAGCTTCTTGTCTTGATGGAAATGCCATAAAACATAAATGCAATTATTGCCTAATTTCTACAGGGTTTATATTAGGAAGCCTGGCATGTTCAATTCCATATATTTAGAAGCAGGATTTGCATCTGAACTTTATGAATGATAAAAGGATGTGGTGTTTCAAAGTCCAGATCAATATTAGAGAGGGGGTAATCTGTTCTCTCCCCCAACCCTGTGTGTGTATAGTGTTATAAAACGTATAGATGAGTTTATGAACAGGAAAAGAGTTCACATTTTGCCTTGAGCTGTGTAACACTTGAAACCAAGATGCAATCTGTAAACTATGATGTGGAACCACAACATAGAATATATTTGAGTGTTTGATACAGGATTATATGAATATCACCAAGAGTGTTGAAAGTGTGAAAAGACAAGAACTAGAGGGACACAAAGTACAAATGTCTGGCATTGAGGACAGGAGACCCTGAATGGGCTATAGAATCTCCTGGACCACAGCAGAACCAGTCACCACAACAGAGGAATCATTGTATTGGAGAAAGCAGAATCAGTCTGCCATGTTTCACTACCTGTCCACATAATTTACCCAACTGGAGGCAGTCAAGGAGTGAGCAAACAACTAACATTCATCTGAAATCCAAAGGCAGCAAACTCAGCCAATGTGAAATGTGCATTAGCAGAAGAGTTTAGTAGTTTATCAGCTTAAAACCTCATACAAAATAGTAAATATTCTCATTGGCATAAAAATGAGAATTATCCAAAAATTAAAGTTCATAAAAATTGAAAATACTGTTGCCAGACTTGGTGGTGCACACTTTTAATTCCAGCCCTGCCGAGGCAGAGGCAGTGGGATCTCTGTGAGTTCTAGGCCAGCCTGGTCTACACAGGCAGTCCAGGACAGCCAGGACTATAGAGAGACACCCTGTCTCAAAAGACTAACCTTCCCACCTAATGATAAAAAAAAAATAGAGTTGCAAAACAAGAGACAAAAATTTTAAAACAATAGGCTAAAACCCAGGAAGGTCCTAGATGTGGGCTGAATTGCTAAGGCAACAGAGCACTAAAACTGTTTGGGACTGTGGCAAGGGCAGATGAGAGAAAAATGTTGTAGAAAGACAGTGCTAATTTCTGCAGGGAGTGAATCAAAATTTTCAACTATCCACCCAAAATCATTCCAGTAGGACAGAGGCAAAAAGATAAATGAAAGGGAATAGACAAAGTAATAACTAAGAATCTATGAGTTGAAGACAATTATGAGTGAGAAAATATGAGTTTATGCAGCCAAGCATGAAAATATATTTAAAATATACATTCTGAAATTCACAAGAGAAGTTAAAAAGAATAATAAGGATGAAGGGAAAACTCCTTAATTTATCCAAAACAAAACAGGATTAGTGACAGAAATCATGAAAATCCTCCCGAATGGAAATTTCTCACTTGCACCACGGTTAATAGGGCAACGACCCAGTTTCTTCCAGAAGTTTATGTCAAATTGTTACTAAAAATTAAGAAGGCAATAATACGCATAATAAATCAAATTTTCCTTCTACATTTTTTTTTTCTGAAAACGTTATTAGGCTTTTTCTAAAGAAAGAACTAATAAGTCTGGTTAGAAGTAACAGAAGTGATGACGAAGAGCTTTGAACCATATTAATAATACAGTTAAAACACATACAAGGTTGTGTAGTTTGGAAATAAAACAGTTGATAAAAAGGGAACAGGAGGGGAAGACGGTGAATATTAGAACGTTAGTGACGCAGCAGGGTCAGAGCTTCGGGAGTCTAATAAACGATGTACATCCTCAGGGAGATATTGTGTATGAACAACAAAGGAGATTATGAGGGTCAAACATAGCACTAAATGCAGAGTATAAATGATACAACTCCAATTGTGGTTTCTTCCTGACCAACACAGAGAAAGACCTAGAGAGTTAGGCACTGATCATAGGACAAGAATAAAAACCTTCACAACAAAATAAAACATTTTAATTTCAATTTATGTGATCCCATGAATACAAAACTCTATGCTGGAAATAACATAGTATTTGATTTTTTTTTACATCACTTACGATCTTTTCCCACATATACACGGCTTCTTTCAGCCCTTAGTCTTTGCCAGGGTTCTGTTTTATTCTGGGGCAATGAATGAGACACCCCTGCCTGTGCAGGCACCTGTAGACAGGCTACGAGCCTGTCTACAGGGCACAATCCATTGTTCTCACTACTGTCTTTTCCTAATGGCATCTTCCATAGCACTACAAAGTACTTTTCTGTTTTCCTCCTTTCAAAAAATCAGTCACCGTGCACTGGGGTTTTGGAATGGATGTTTCCTCAGGAGCACTTTACTTTTGTAAGTAATTTGTAAATAGCACATACCTACTAGTTAGCCAAGTCTCTTTAACATCAACTGCTGCAATCTCGGATCCACATTAGTTGTAGTATCTGCAAAATGTACTAGCCCCTGCACCATGGATTAATTCATGCTTTGCTTCAGTCGGTTTTCATCAGTAATAGCTTGTCATTCATTCTCAGCTGCCATTGTTCACAAGGCTGAGGTACAATGAGGGTTAAGTAGCACACTACAGCCTGAAGAAACTCTATCTCACAAAGGTACAGATCTGATTTAAGACATTTCATTTAAGAAATGTTAAAATGAGAAGATAATTTTTTACTTATAATCAATGCTACTGATCTTATCCTTTTATGTTTTGTATATTTTATTTTACTTTTTTTTTAAAGTAGAGCACAAATTTAACTCAGCAGCAGCAGGCTGCTACAGGTGTATTTTCTGAAGGTCATTTGCCAAGTAGACAATCCTTAATGTATAACAAGGAATCGATTATTTTAACAAGTATCTTTTATTAAAAAATCATATAACCACCACATCCCCAGAATCTGTCTTAGAGATGAAGGGAAAGGAATTTAATTAAGACAATGAGCTCCTGCCTTTGCTGTTGCTTAGGAACACAGGTTGCTACTCACCAGAGCCTTCAGTGAAGTTGCTGATGGCAGAACTGCCCCCAACTGAGCTGCATCTCTTGCCATCCTTGAACTGCTGCCTCCTCCTGGCCCACTGGTCTATTGCTTCTTCCTGAGAACCATCACTGGCTCTCTCACCTCTCCAGGCCAATTCCTGAGACAGCTTTCGGGCATTATTGTTTTCCAAATTCTGGCCTAGATTTAAACATTAAATAGCAAAGTGAGACACAACTTCAAGATAGGACATGAAATAACCTTTGAAACACAGAGAAAAAAATCATTTAGTTTCTTCATGTTCCATTTGCTAAGATGGAGAGAGAAACAGAGGTGTCAATTAAGACACAGATTTATATAGTCCCAATGTATTGCTTTCTGTCACTACAAGAAAAGAAGCTGAATTATTAAGTGAAAAATATTACCAGTAAAACATTACAATGCAATTAAACGGAAAAAGAAACAAAATGAAAACCTGAAGTACATAAGCACAAAACACAAAATCTAGAAAGTAATTTCACAGTTTAGAATTGCTTGAAATTTTACTTTTTGATACTCTACAAAAAGCAAGCAACGCAGAGTTGAAAACTTGACTTTTATCCATTCTGCTCCTGAAAAAATAATTTCTATAATTTTGTGTTTGTTTCCCTTCAGGATCACACATATTCAAATTGGCAGAAAGCACATGGTCTAAAGTACTCATGCTTTGATACTTAAGGGAGTACTGACTCCACCATTTATAAAGCTTTACCCCCTATTCTGTTGATCAATGTCAGTATCCTTAGATTTAAACACACACACACACACACACACACACACACACACACACACACACACACACACACACAGAGAGAGAGAGAGAGAGAGAGAGAGAGAGAGAAGATCTGGCCCAACTTCACTGTATGTACTTGTGCTAGTTAGTTTTGTACACCAACTAAAGTCACATGGGAAGAGGGGACATCAGCTGAGGCATTGTCTCCATTAACTGGACTGCAGTATGTCCATGGACTATTTGTTTGATTAATGATTGATGTGGGAAAGCAGGACCTCCTGTAGGAGGTACAACCCTAGTTGGTCCTGGGTTGTATAAGAAGGGAGCTGAGCATTTGTTTTAGAACTAAGGGGAAATAAACTATCATGTATACTGTATGTAAATTTTGCTTCAGATTACATATAAGTTGCTGTTTAATCATGAATATGTCTATGTCATATAAAGATTCACTGAATTCTTCTCAGTGTCTATCATTTTCTTACCCTGACCTGGTTTTAGTTTTATTATTAAATGTTTTTATGATGTAAACTTTCTGGTTCATTAATACAGATCTTATATGTATCTTTCAGCTAAGTTTTAGCTGAAGAAATTCTACTCCAAGAACACTCATACTTATCTGGTAAAGAACTTAGTACTTTATTCTTAAAGGGGTAAGGCCCATACCCTTCCATGTATGTAGCACTGACTCTCTTTCCTCCCAACACACTCAGTTTTATGTCAAAGTTTCTTAATTTCATGCACATTGACAGACTTTGAGTGGGGAAGGATCTATTGCAAAATGCAAATATCAGTTTGTGCCTACAAAGATTTTTTTGCACTTCTGGTGAAACAACACAGGTCTATCAAAGCACTGGATACCTTGAGATTTTGTATAATCCAGGACTGAGATGCCAGGGCAATTGTATAGAGAAAGTTAAAAAAAAAAAAAAAAGTACCCATAGTTCTAAGAAAATCAAAATCATGAAAACATTTATAAATTTAATATAGTTTTGTAGCTATTTTAATTGCTGAACTGTTTCTGTATATAAGTACAGGGGTATGCAAAAGGACATTTCACAGAGCAACCTGATATGACTTCCCTTCATTTGATAAAGAAATACCTAGACTTTATACTAACGGACAGGCACTACAAAACGCTGTAGAAACAAATTATTGGAAAAGGAAACAAAAAACTTCATGAAGCATACATTTTGGTGGAGAAGGAGAATATAAATAAACAAGTGACAGATGCAACACACTGAAAGCAAAAATGTTATAGATGAGAGTAAAATGTGGAAAAATGGTGAACTTGGGCTGGAACAAGGACAGCTTGCATTGTAATTTTAAATTTGGTTTCTGAGAAGGTCTAACTGTGATCACTCTGTGAGGAAGATAGCATAAGGAAACAAGCTAAGAATGACCCATATGGAGAAAGACTGGTTCAAATAGTAGAAGCAGCCCATGTCCGGGGCCTGAAGAAGCATGTCGATCAAGGGTCTAGATGTTCAGATAGGGTCAGCTGTGCTTGGAACTCATTCATCAAGAAGTAAGAGATTGATGAACCATAGACATGCAGAGAACAGTAAGAACAATTTCCCTTTATTGAGAGTAATTTCATTTGTGCTTAGATCCTAATTTGGAGTATTAATTATTTGCAGTGTTGGGAGATGAAGTACAGGGAGCAACACTTTTGTAGGGATAGGTAAGACAGCTTATGTTGGATAGTCATTCAGATGATGAACGTATCCCCTCCAGGCAACGTAAGTGCTTATACTACAGGAACTCTTGCCATTCTAAATATCCATTCACTGACACAAATCTTGGAATTCTTGGAATGTATGTGACTGGCTTGGTAACTGGAGCTACACAGGTCCTGGCAAGCAGTCACTGGGAACAGCAGAATTTGTTCTTACAAGGTAGGGATGGTACAGTTTTTATGTTGTTGTTTTTTTGTTTGTTTGCTTGTTTTTAGAGGCTTACTTTTGCATGAGTCAAATTTCACATATTATGGCAATACTTATGAAGTAGATTATGCTTCTTATGTTTTATTTCTACTCCTAAAATTTCAAAAATGTTGAGTAATTGATTTTGCTCCAGCTTTTACATTGTTCCATTAAAATGTTAGAGGGAATAGAAGAGCGGGAAATATGGTGTCTTTCATAAGTGTCTTCATTTTCAATCTCATTTCTGAGCATATTTGATATGCTATCTGCAGTTTTGGAGATAGTTTTTACTTATTCAAGATGTATTTTAATTTATACTATGGAAGAATGCTAATATTAGTTGCCAAATAATTTGGATTCATTGAGAAACACAAGGGACTTTTTATGAAGTGACCAAAATGATGTTTTTCTGTATCAAGATTGAAACCAGACAGACAGCATTATGCACTTAGGGAAAAGCTAGGATCTTAGCCCTTCTTGAGGTCCCAAGGATGCCTGGGTTGTATCAACTGTTTGAGCAAGAGCAGGCAACACAAAACGGAGGTCAGAGGGCTGCTGGAGTTAAAGGTCCTATGGATGGTTCAGTCAGGATTAGTTAATGGTGCCTCTGGCTTTTGTCCTTTGCTTTAATGACTATCCCACATGGCCCTAGACATGGGAATGGCCCTACCCATGCAACACTATAGCAAGGTTTGAGAACACATTTTATTACAAGCACATTTTCCTATTCTTTTAAACATGCTTAACTTGTAAGAAATGGTACATTATTTAAGAGTGTCCTGGAATAACATTTTCAACAAAACTGATTTGCCAACATATTGATCTTTTAAAGAGTAAATTTTTATTTTATATTTTTTATATTAAACTGCAGTTATGGTGATTTTTTTTCTATGCACTACTTATGGGAAGACTTGGTTTTAAAGCAAAGAGACAGACTGATACATCCTTATTCATGTTTGTGTCAACACATCTCCCCAATAAGGAAAAATACCCCAAGCAGTAAAATGTACTTCACCCAAGACTGCTCAAGGCTCACACACATGATAACAATAAAGGCTTAAAATTCTGCTTAACTCATTGTACCTTTCAGAGCCTTCTGCTTCTGCGGTGACAGCAATATGTCCACAGGGCGACAGGAAGTTTCTGTGGGGTCACCCTTGTCCTCCCTTTCTTCAGGCTGTCCATTTGACGGAGTCCTTTGGCACTCTGCTGGCTCCTGCTGGAAGTTGTTCAGTTCAAGACTTTTGTCACCTGCATTACTATTTGGATCTGTGTCACTGGTTAGTGTCTTATCAAGGAGAAACAGCTCTTCTGCGGACAGCCCTGTACAGGCAGACTCGGTGGAGTTTGGTGGAAACTCCATTCTACAACATAGGTCATTGTGATTCTCACCAGTCAGGTCTTCTAAATTTCCGTGGCATATACTCTCTACTGCTGGTAGTGCCTGCCATTTGTTATCTTCAACATTTTCCGGAGGGTCTGCTGACTCTATAGGGGTTCTTATTGCCATGGGACAGTTAGAATCAACTGTGCCTTCTTTGCAATGCTGAGTAGTGACTCTCTGCTCTAACTCATCAGTTATGGAGGCCGCGACTGACACTTCTGTTCTGTTGAGGGTTGCTGTCTCTAAATGATTTACATGGTCCTCTGTTTGATCCCATCCCACAGATCTGTGAATAATGCCATGGGGTGGGCTCTTCGAGCCTACGCTGCTGCAAGATGCAAGCCTGACAGTTGGATTTTTTGTGCTCTTTCTTTCCAATAGCTGTGTGTTTGCAGAAGAGTCACTATGTAACACAGCCTCATTAATGTCTCTGTAAGTCACATCACCAAGTACTATCTCCTGCTCTGTCTTAACCCCATTATGTTGGCTAAATAAAAACGTGTTCTCAGAAGTGTCTGCAAGTTCTGAATGTCTGGTGGCCCAGTGAGATGGACTGAGTAAAGGAGAAGGCATCAGATCATGTTCACTGACAGGGAAGGGTACAGAACTTGAGTTGTCACAACCTTCTGCTGGTGGAATTCTGTTGTCTCTGCAGCTGATGCTGGCTGCATTTTCTCCCAAGAGCTGCATGGCTAGAGAAGACAAATGACAGGCCTCAGAGTCTGAGGCCTCCTGAAAGGGAATTACACCACCCATTGTACTTAGGGGACCATTTGTTCCTGCTGTGCATGGCTGTCCTTGGGAATCTGAGGGGATGCTTTTCTTGACATCAGAGCTGTTTTTTTTCTCTCTGTTCACATCCATGGAATCCTCAAAAGACATTTTACTTAAATACAAGTTATTTAAACTTGTGGTCTTTGAGGTTTCAGATGGGGCAGGAAGACAATTGTCTGCCATGAAGAAATGTTGCTTTGGGGGGTTGTCTTGGACAATTTGAAAGAGCTTCCTCTGAGATGTGGCAGGATCTCTCTCTTCAGAATCATCTGGGTCAGAAGGCGGTGTGTTGGGTTTCTTGTTCTCTCTCCTGAGAGGTGAGCTTAGAGAAATCACAATTTTGTCTGAATCCTCTTTCTGGATAGTATTTACACTACAGGAAGAATCATGCGAACCATCTGAACTCTGGTTCTGGTTTTTAAGCCTACATTTTTCAGGCTGATTTATGGCAGGCTGGGAAGGAGACTGACAAGGTTCTTTCCTAATGTGATTCAAAGAATTTTTCCTATGTTTTGTCAATTTGCCTATGCTTTTAGGATGAGATACATTGATAAGTATGTTCTGTTCTTTACTTGCGTACTCAACCATTATTTCTTTTCCTATGATGCTTATGTTTATTGAAGGGATCTCACCTTTAGAAACCTCTCCTTTGCATGTAGACGGAACCTTGTGTTTGAACTCTTCTGATAATATAGTATTATATTTAGGGAAGTGGCCCCGAGATGCAGAGCCTCTCTGTACTTGCTGGACAGAATAATGTTGGTGACATGTTGGACATCGCTTTTTCACAGGAAACTGTGCTCCTGTTTTACAGAAAATGCTTTTTGTGGTTTCCACTTGTACATTGAAAGCCCCACATTTGACTTCGGTAATAAATTTGCCTTTTGCTGGCTTTAAGGCTTCTACTGTGTTTGGGAAATCCTGTGTTGTAATTTTCCCTGATAACGATTTTTCACAGTCATTAAACATGGCCACTGGTAAGACTTCCTCTAGTGGGTGAGAGATGGCCGGAGGAGGGCCATCATTCTCCATCCTCTGGTGTATTTTTCTGTCAGGTGGAGGTTTTTTCTGATCTTTGGGGAGAAAAGAGGAATCCTGTTTTCCATTTATAGAAACAGATATACACTCATCTCCATTTTCCTTCAATTTCCCTAATGCCCCAGTCTGATGAAACACAGCCTCTGAAGTGTGTCCCTTTATGTCCTTTTCAAAATCTTTTACATTTTTTTGACATGCCTGACCAGATGGCTGAGATGTACCTAAAAAAGAGGAGAAGGGAAGGAAAAAATGTTTTATGTCCACTTAAAGAGCAGATGTTCCAAATCATAGGATGAATGTAGGAATGTTATTTGTAAGTATTTTGGGTAACAGTTTTCTTCAGTTTTAATGAAAGTCCATTCCAAATGAATGTCTTATTTTAAATTAATTATCCAGAGTGCATAATAACACCTGGTGTTTTTGAAAATAAACTTAATTAAGCTTTATTCAAAGGCAATGTCTGAATTTCAGAGAAATGCATGCTTCAAAGAAATTGTAAGCAACTAAAATTTAAATGCAACTCCTTGATAAGAACCAAATTGACATGTCCTGAAATTTGAATGTAACATTATTCTACAGGCTATGTCAAATTTGACATAATTTCATAGATTTAAAAATGCTAGTAAAGAGCTTGGAAGATATCTCAGCATGATCTATAGATTACCTTTCAAACATATCACATAGAATCAACTGCCTTATATTTTTGTAAAGGGTGTCTTCGTAAATGCAAATTCCTGTGGCATCTGGGCTATGTTTGCAAATAAAATAGGCTTGGTATACATATTCAGCTCTAGCCAATGGTTGGTATGGGAGAGGAGATAGCATATTGCCATATAGTCTCATTTTCTAAGAAAACACTAGGATCTCTGTTGGTATTCTTTGAAATCACTGAATTCTGGAGGATTGGCTCATGCTGTTAAGCATCTTTCTAAAGTTAGAGGCCAATGCATGAAGAGACCACATCTGACCTGTGGATTGTCAACTGGCAACTTAGTGCTTCTATTTCAAAGTGCTATCTTACTTTTACTCTATGAAGTTTATTAGCATGGACATGAGGCATCTGCTCTTGTACAAAATACCATGGAGAAAAAATGAAGACACCATATTGTATTTCAAATAATAGGTGAGGAGATTGCTAAAGAAACAGAGAAGAAGAAAGACAGTAACTATTAGTGCCATGACAATCAATGAGACAGATGTTCAAAGGGATAGCTTAAATGGTTTTTTTTGCCCCTATTTATTTATTTGCCTATTGTTTATATGTGTGTGAGTGTATTTCATGACATACATGTAGTGGTCATAGGCTAACTTGAGGAAATCAGTTTCCTCCAGAGATTGATCTCAGGTCACAAATTTTGGTGACAAACATACTGAACCATTTCACATGGTTCCTCAAAAGTGATGTTTTTAATAAGCTGATTGAGTTAAAATTTGATAATTTTTAAAAAACAAATTTATCTTAAAAATTACAGATTTAATAGATTTACATAGCATGTAAAATACTTATAGTTACATGAATCCTTACACAGAAAAGAAATATACTTTCATAGGAAAAGAATACTACAGTAATTGAAGACTCTGATCACTCCATTTGGTACTCTTCAGTCCTGAATGAAAGGCTTTACTTTTGGCTAATTTCCAAGAGTCTGCTTACCATTTGAAAACTGTAATATGGATATCATGGGAGAGGAGACAGGGAGAAAAATCTCTCTAAAGCCCATTTACAATCAGTCATTTACCTGGTAACAATTTATAGACTGACAGATTCCCTTCCAGAACTAAGGATGATGAGTAATTCTTAAAATAATGCATTATACCACAGCCAGTTCAGTATATATCCCTTAGTATAGTTTTACACTTACAGTAAGTTTTCAGTTGACCACATTTCTATGTTGAGACTGCAAAAGACTAATTGAAAAAGGTATATAGCAAGGCATTGGTAGTGGAATTTAATAATGAGGTAGGAGCTTAATTGACTATTTCCAAATGAGTAAATATTCTATTTAAATTGTTTTATATAAACAGTTATATAATTATACAATACTATAACATATTATTGTTACAAGAGGTGTGGCCTTGTTGGAAGAAGTATGTCACTGGGGTGGGCTTTGAGGTCTCAAATGTTCAAGATAGGCCTAATAGGTCACTGTTTCTTCCTGTTGATTGTGGATCCAGAGGTAGAACTCTCAGATACTTCCCCAAAAACATGTCTGCCTGCATGTTACCATCTTCCCTGCCATGTTGATAATGGACTAAACCTCTGAACTATAAGCTATCCATAATTAAATGTTTTTCTTTATATGAGTTATTATGGTCATGGTGTCTCTTCACAGCAACAGAAATCCTAACTAAGACAGAAGTTGGTACCGGGAGTAGGGTGTTGCTATGATAGGCCAGACCATGTTTTTGCCTAGAGGAATATGGGCTTTGGGAGTTCAGGTTAGAAAAGCAGTTAAATTCTTTAAGTGGGGCTTCATGGGTCATCCAACTAGGATCATGGAAGACAATGGTGCTGAAGGTCACATTGTCTCTTCACAGCAATATAACCCTAAACAAGACAAAACCCTTAAATGATTTTATAGCATTTCTTAATATTTTTTTACAGCTATCTCTGGACTAATGAGCAAAGTATATATAGATACAGACAATTTTGTACATACCCTCCAAAAATGCATCGAATTGGACTTACCTATTGTAGTATTCAAGAGTTTCCATTTCCTATGGGCTTTTCTTCTCTTCCTTCTCATTTTTTGGAAGATGTAGATCTCTTCATTTATCTTTACCTTTTGAAAGTATCAAACTTGAAATTATTTTCAGTCAGATTTAGATTTCATCAAATTATAAATTAACCCATTTATTTACTTGTCAACATACTATCTTTCAGTAGCTTCTCTGTAGTATTCTATTTTGACTATATGTTATTGTCCTAATAATATTTTCTCTTCCCATTTAGTTGTATCTCAACAATTAATTGCAATGAGTCACACCATGTGAAAATTCAAACATATATAACATATATGCATACTAGCACATACACAGGTTTTTAGGTGTTTAGGATACAAATTTTAAGATTACATTGTTTAATAGATTTGTTTATTTCTTATTTTATGAGTCTAAGTATCTTCATGTGTGTATATGGACCCCGTAAAATGCTAGTATCTGCTTAGGCAGCAAAGGTTGTCAGATCTCCTGGAACTAGATTTATGGACTATTACCAGTTTCCATGTGGGTGCTGGAAACCAAATCTGGGCCCTCTTCAAGAAGATGATTTATTTTTCCAGCTACTGTTTAGTTTTTTTTTTTTTTTAAATTGGATTTTTCATATACCATTAAAAGACTCTGACTTTTGTAATTTTCACCTTAGTTTAAAGTCATTAGCTTTTTAGCCTCATTGAGTTAAGTGGTTTAAGGGAGATATTTTGCCTCCATTACACTATCATCCTCCATACTACATTTAAAGATTATGAGACTGGATCCACACATTAGCAGAGTTGGCAAGTCTTTCTAACGGACAGCATTATTTACCTTTGTTGAAAAACAAAGGGCTATCTTCCCTGTTGGCAATGTCTTCAGTAACAGCACGTGTTTGAAAGAGGTGTTTGTGAGAATGTAGTCTCCTAACAACTCAGGTAGTGCTGTGGGTAGACGTCTGCCTTTGTGTACAGCTACATCTGATTTTCATTACCTTTGTGCTTGACAGTGATTAAGCAATCTGCAAAATCTAGGGGAAGCAGCTTGCATGGATAAGAACAATGCAGTTTTATATACAGGTTGAGCAAGCTCTGTCTATGGATCAATCAACCAAGATGCTTATTTTTCCAAATTAAATAGGGGTGGCTTATGGCCAATTTTGGTAAAAAAAAAAATGTACTTAAATTCCTCTCAATTCCTTTTTCTCATCTCTCACATCATGGTATCTATTGATTCCAAATCCTCCATATTCCCAAAAAGTATAGCAACATTATAACTTTCTGCATATTTTTCCTCCTAGAGCACCTTTATTCTCTGGAAATATTGACATTCATTAGCACTCCCAGCTGCCTTTTCTAACCTCTCTCTCTATAGGCATGAGTAAATCTTTAGTTCTGATATAATAAGCAATAATATTTTCTCCTTGGGGACACATTGTGGAACTCTGATTTGGCACAGATTACATAATTTAACATCTTCAATTTGTTATCATTGTCTTATATGCATATTGGCTTTTCAAACTGTGAAAATGCTTCAAAAGAACTTGGGTTGTTTATAAATTATTTCTATACAGTGGGAGCAGAAAATGGAGTGGTCCTACTGTATTCAGTGGAGCATGCTTTGGATGTAGTCTCGGTAGATATTGGTTTGTCATCTGGCTTGGGTGAACATTCAGCACTTCCTAAACTCCTGTGAAGTTGTTTCCTTTACCTCTGGGATAGAAATGGGAATATATTCTTCATGAAGCAGTTGTCTTGAAGAAACACAATGGAAAAAGCTGTTGATCATTCTGATCACTTGATACCAGTTATTCTTTATATAATCATACAATATGTGCAATTTAAGAAATTACATTCATAACTGTACAGTGTCTGCAAGGTCATCTCAGTCAAGGCTGGCGTTTTTCAGATGGGAAAATGAGACTGAGACAAACTGGATCTAGACACAGGGTACTAGGAATTAGGTCAACTTTCTCTTTGAGCAGACATTTCGTGGTTAAGATGCTGTGCATTGCTTCTGCTCATAAGTTGAAATTTGTGGTTGATTTGTGTTTTTGCTGTGAGGCAGTACAACTTTGTTATAGAAAATTTAATGCACTATTCAGTGTGTATCCAGTATTTTGCATACTGCTTGACATATAACTATGGATGAATAAATGAATTTGATGGTATGTGCCAACATGTACCTAATTATGTTTTACTATAGTGCCCTTTCTTATTTCTAAATGTATTTCCTATGTATTTGATTTGTTGATAGCTAATAAAGTTCCAGTTTTATAATGAAAATTGATGAAAATTTCCTCTGAAAGGTATCTTCCTTGTTTTCTACTTCTACAAGTAGAAAGTCTGCAAGCACAAAGTTAGCTCATGGGTGTGCCCAGAATAATCATTCACATGAGTGTATATACTGAAGGGTATAATTGATCTTACAGTATTGGAAGCCAAGCGCATCTCCATTTGTCTGTTTAGCACAGTATGCAACAACCACATTGTCTATTGAACCCTAATAAGAATGAGAGGTTGGAGGAGCTAAATGCGCCTTAGTATTTATCCCTGACTCCTGTTTCCAGACTCTTGTCCCATGTAACCCCTTCTCCAAGACTTTCAAACATTGGAATACCTTCTCTATTCTTTCTAATTTCTTTAGTAGGAGAAAATAGCCTAATAAACCTAATTTTGAGTCTACAAAGGAAATAACTAAGGCGGAGAAAGAAATTTTTACAACATTAGAGAATGTTTCTTTTTCAAAAAGATTTAGAGATGTTATTATTTGAACACAATCAGAATAAAATCTTTATACATAGTTTAGAATTTTAAAACTTTTAATTTCATATAGAGATGCTATCGTCACCCAAAGGTTCTCTATAAAAATTGAAGGCATTGTATTATTTCATAAATCCTAAGCAAGAGTTTTGCTTTCTTTTTCATCCTCGTACCACCCTTTTTCCTAAACATGGTAGGATGAACTTGCCACTTCATTGCTAAAACAAGGCTGACCGTGAGTCTCTCCACTTCCCAACCAACACAACGAATTTCTTTGAATTTGTGCCAGACTCTAGCAAATTCCTTATTTTGTAGCTAATGTAAGCATTTCTTGATGATATAGGTAGCCCTGGACCGTTTTATTTGCAATTGTTATCTCCTTTACCGCAGTGTCAATTTCTCTCTTTAGCCTGACTTCTCCATCAGCTGTCACGTACCTAGACAACAACACATATTGAACAATTTTGCTATTTTTTGCCTCAACACTCTTCACCTTTTTGTCTTTTTCTCAAGTTCCCATCAAGCAGCCTATTATCGCCCTGGACTTCACTGACAGGAGTCCTGGTCACAACTGACACCCAGATTGCTGAAGCTCAGTCACTTCTTGTTTCTCTGTGTGTCCATGCACTAAGTATCCTTTCATACAGAAAAGAAGGACTTCGTTCCTCGTGTGTCTCATCCTATGGGATGTCAGTTCCATGGAGCCACAACATCCTGCCACTGTGAAGGTCCATTTGTTTCTCTTTCATGTTGGCTGATCGTCCCTTGCTCAGCCTAGTCTCCCACACTCCCTTCGTTTCTTCATCAGCTCTCTTCCTGAGAAACCTCTTGTTCCAGGACTTTCACATCATTGTTCCAAATGTAAACTCTGTCACTTCACTCCTGAATTTCTTAATTTCATATGGCAAGAAGTGAGACACAGCAGTCAGGCAGATGTATCCTCCTGAGAACTGAGCTGGAATTTCACTCAAACTAATGTCCCTCCCGGAGTCCTTGATGACCTCTGCTTTCTCACTTTTCTCCTATGATGCTGTCTAGTCTCCATCAGCAGAATTTCCATGCTCTCGGTTACAATCCAGCTTCTGTGCATTGTCTTAGAGCCTTCTCCTTAACCTGCTTTTCTAGCTCACCAGCAAACGTGTCTAATTCTGTCTCCAAAAGAACACACAGCATATGTATTATACATAAACAAATGTTTAAAATCTGGCTTACTGTAACAGCTTTTTAAATGCTTTTCTTTTGAAATTCATTTTTTTTTTTTTATGATTTACAGAGAAATGGGGCTGGCCTTTTGTTTGTTTGTTGTTTGGTTTCAAACCCTAAATCATGCCGCTTCACTGCTCAATGATCTTCGAGGACCTCCCATTTCATATTTAAAAAGTTCTTAGCACTTTTTTTAATATGCATACCCAGGATTTAGTTCTACAGATAAAGTGTATCACTACTAGGCCTCAGGATATATATCTAGGAATCCATTCTGTTACAGATTTCCTGAGTCTGTATTTTTCATGAATATTTATTTGTTGTGTTGCAAGAGTCAGCAGTAGAGCTCTGAAAAGTTGTGGTGACTGCTGTTGTAGAAGCTGAGTCCCATTGTATCTGGTGTACTGTGCTTTATAAGGTCCTTCCCTTGGGCTTTGTCTCATTACACTAATACACAGTAGAATAAGGAAGAGTGTAATCAGGAAATGCTAGTATTGTGCTTCTCCCGCAGAACTAACTGAGATATGGTACTACTATGCTCTGAAAACAGAAAGGTATTCTTAATTTTTTTTTACTGGTTTAACAGTTCTGACAGATTACTTAAAATTCCTCTATTTTATTGCTAAGCTGAATCATTTCCTTGAAACACTGCAATATAATATTATATTACCAAAAAAGGAGAAAAATTCACAAAGGATAGATAATTATCATTATTAAAATTCTAGGAGACTAAATTATGGAATAAATTTCTTTGTTAAATGCTCAAATTCCAAGGCTGGAAGGTATCATCCAGTCCCCTTTGTGAAGCACACTAGCAATAGTTTTGTGGGTTCTTTTTTATACATAAAATCAGCAAGAAATCCATGTTTTCAAGATCTCAGCACAAAGTCCGTGTCAGAAAGACTGTAAGTGCTTGTGTTTTTCTGTGTGTGTGCACATGCATACACACATAGGTAGAGGGCAGTGATAGATGTTACATGTCTTCCCCAATTGCTGTCTATTCTGGCTCATTTCATATCAACTTGACACAAGTTTGATTCATTTTGGAAAAGGGAATCTCTATTGGAAATTCTTTCCACCAGAGGACTATTGGCAAGCCTATGATGTATTTTCTTGATTGAAGACTGATGGTGGAGGGTCCAGTTCTCTGTGGGTGGTGTCCCTCCTGGGTTGGTGGTCCTGGGTGCTTTAAAAAAAGCAGACTAATCAAGCCATGGAGAACAAGACAGTAAGCAGCAGCCCTTCTCCATGGCGTCTGCTTCAGTTCCTAAGTCCAGGCTCCTGTCCCCTAAGAGCCTTGGCTGATGATCTGAAAGAGAAAAATAAACCCTTTCTTCCCAAATTGCTTATGACCACAGTGTTTGATCACAGCAATAGAAACCCTAACTAAGACATGCTCCATCTCAATAACCTGGAGCTTCATCAATTTGGGTAGGCTGGAAGTATCTTGGAGAATCTGGACCTCATCCATCTGCTTAGACAAGAAGGCTAAATAAAGGACTCCCAAGCATCCCTGACTGCATTTCTCCAGCACTGGAATAAAAATGCACACTGTCTGCCACTCACTCCTGGGTTTTCTGTGGATCATGCTTTTGTGAACACCACTTTACTAACTTATTTTTTTCAGGAAAGTGTATTAGCTTTTATTAACCCACATAAGTAAATCAAATTCTGTGAAGTCCAAGTTTAAAAATATTAAAAGAAGAGTATAGCATTCACATTTATTTTGAAAGCATTCTCAAAACATAAAATTCTGCCCTTGAACATCATTCTCCTCTTTGGGTAGCATGGTAGTTAAAACTATAGTCTTTTGTCCTTAATTTATAAAATTACAGAAGAGAGAGAGAGAAGAATAATCAGTAGGAAAATAGCTATTTCAGTAATGCCCATACATCATTTACACCTATATTCAATAGGCATACAATGATGGGACTAAAGCTTCAGGATATGGGATGTGAAGGTAGTTCTGGCTGAATAGTGTCTTAGAATTAGGCATCCTTAGTGAACATTGCTTGAGCAACACTCAGTGCTTTTTCAAAGCTGTTTATTACACCTTTGTTTCCATGCCCCTGTGAAAGAGTGAATATATTTATACTGTTTACTATACACAGTTTTACACACACATAGCAGATTGGAACACATTTAGTTGAAGTATAAACAACCAAATTTCATATCCAATAAAATCAATTTTCCCTTTCTCCAAGCATTTTATGGGTAAGTTTAAAAGGTACATAAAGAGTGTTTAGGTCAATCCTGTAATGAGCCATTTGGTGTTCACTGGGCATGAATCTGTTAGGGTCTTGGGCTTTGAAAGCTAGGAAAGAAAGAGTCCTAACATGAGCATAAGCGTGGGACAGCTATCATCCTTTTTGACATATAGCAGAACATACATGATTAAGATGATGAGACTAAATCTTGAAGAGTAGGAATGTCTACCCCATGAATGTTAGAGCAGAGTCTCTGGACTCTAGAGTCTACATGAATGAAGTGCAGTGCAGATAGGACAGCATACTGCCTACTATAATTTGTTATTCTTTGTTGTTTTTGATGTCTTATGGTACTCGAGACAGAATTATTCATCAAAGAAAGATGAATCCTACACGTAGTAAGGTGGATACATTAGGTGATACCAAGAAGAAAGGGACAAACTAAAATAAGAAACCCTTATAGCTTTTGGTGTCCATCATGTGTTTGAGGATAACATCCACCTTTCATTTCTCATCAGAGAAAATAAGGATGCAAAGTATCCAAGGAAGGAAATGATGCCCTGAGTAGCTTCGCTTCCCTCTTCACCATGTTATAATCTAAAAGTCAAGGATGCTTTTCCTTAAGGCGTTTTAGAGAGTTCCACTGCTTTCTTCTGTGGAGGTCTTCTCTCGTATCAGGGACTCTTGCCTCCCCTCTCATTTTCCTATATAAGGATCCCAGTGAAGAACATCAAATTGGAATCCAGAAAACCTAGTATACTTATAATAGAGACAATCTTCAAATTTGGAATATTGAGATAAGGGCTAGGATGTCAGTTAGACTTCATGTAAGAATGGAAGCATGATGCAAGTTTCAAGGATTCTCCAATGTATTTGAGTGGAGTAACATGATAAATATGTAGATTACAGCCCTATCTTCAATATTTAGGATCCAAGCATATGCTTTTTTAATACATACATACCCTTCTGCTCCATATGTACCAAGTGCTTTTGATTAGAGGGTTTTGAGTTGACCCACTCCAATATCTACCCCCATTTATGACCTGCTAGAGTATGTGAAGGGGCCAGTCACACAGAACCACAGCCACAGCATCACTGTGATTCAGGCCAAAGCAAGGTATCTAAGGGGAGTTTTGGTGAGGATTCAGCATTGATGGTTCAGCAGAACCCACAGGCATTGAACCCAGCCAACATTGCAATAAACATTTACAAGTAAAGCTGCTTAGGCAAAAGCGTGTACCGCTTGACATACTGAAGCTCCCAATGCCTCTATGACAAGTGAATGTGTGCTAGAGAGGCCAGTAAGATGGAGGAGCAGAGTTCTTGTTTGTTTCTTTTTTGTTTTTGTTTCTTTTGTTGGGGAGGCTACTACAAGGGTGAAGAACAGACATGGAAGGACTGTGAAATAAGAGGGATTGAGGTGTATGATGTGTAATGCCCAAGGAATCAATATAAATTATGTTAGATTAAGAAAAAAGATAAAATTGGTCAGGGTGAATGGAACTTTATCTGGGGAATCTTGGCAATGTTGAGATGTCAGGGTGCGGAAGCCCTGTGGAAATTTGCTATGGATTCTGCTTTGCTTTGTGCCACCCTGTGTCCCTTCTACCTATGCTTGCACATGAAAGCTTATATATTTTCATTGTTATTTTGGCAAAACAGCAGATTCCATTTCTTCCTGTATCAACAAGTTTCTAGGAAGAAGAGTCAGTGGCAGATAATTAAATTCCTCCCTCAGTCCCGTGGACGTTCACAGGCTGTACTCAAACCCTGTTCTAATCTCAGGTGTTACCTCCCAATATCCTTTCACCGCCTGCTAACCATGACTTGTGACAAAAATCTAGCAAGTCAAATTAGCAGGCCAGGGCTGCTGGAGTAAGAAGACAAGTCATGTTGACTTTTTGATTGCTTGCATTTCCTGTGACATTGTGTTGACATTCAGCTTCACAGAGTCAAGGGGTTCCTGTGCTTGGAACCTAACAGCCTGCACGAGCTGAAATTGCTGGTGAGTACATGGCTGGGGGGGG